GAATGGGAGATGAGGAAGCAGCCGCAGGATCCAGAGAGAGCAAAAAGCCAGAACGTCTGCTTATATACAGATGCGAGCCACACCCCCAAGGAGACTCCCTTTCATCTGACTGGCTACTCACAGTATATTCAATCATGGGAGTGATTAAAACACAGAGAATCATGGCCCAACCAAGTTGACACACAATCTTAACCATCACAACCTGTTAAAGCCAGAACCTGTGTTAAAGTGGAAACCTGTCAGAGAAGAAAAACTAAAATATTTTCCACTAAAATGAGTGATAGAAAAGTAGTAAGACTGCACCCTGTCAAAAGTGAAAAACTTGCGAGACCCGGAAGAAACAAGGCAGTACCATCAAGTTCCGGCTCTCACAGGTTTCACTGCAGTAAGCATTCTATGATATTAATAAGCTTTTCTCAGAATGAACTACATATGAAAAAACAAAAGAATATTAAAAGGATAAAAAGACCCTGAGACTAGCTTTAAAAGTTTTGTTTTTACCCCCTAGGAACAGTAATAGTGAAATTACATACAGCCAAGGCTCTACAGTTCCTTAAAGTAGTGCTAAAAAGGATAAAAATGGCATATGGCTGGGGGCACTCTTCTAAAGAAACTACTCTACGCAGCCATCCTCTGTTCTTTTCTCTGTCTTTTAAGGTCATGGTAACATGGTAGAAATTCTGGGACTCACACCATCTGTCTAGACAGCTCTATCACTGCTCATTTCTCTTGTTAAATAATCAGTACATTTCACACTTCCCAAATACTGGTACTATAAAGAGCAGTTAAGGCAGAATGAAAGAAGCTTTTTCTATCCAGAAATGTAGCGGTTGGAAATGAAACAGTGCTTTTGAGGTTTGTGCGTTTCAGATTACATCAGTGAGAAAAAACAAGTTCAAGCCTTAGAAGGAAAATTAAGAATAAAAGGATTCTAACATGGGATCTAGAAATTATCTTTCTTAGAAAAAAGTTGACACTCATTATTAGTTCTCTGAGAACAGATGTAGCAGTTTAATACTGAGATAATTAAAAAGGTTTATAATATGTAAATTTCTCATAAGACTAAAGAAGAGGAATCTTTTTTTTTTTTTTTTTTTTTTTACCACTAGTAGTATTAGTAGCAGCAGCAGCAGTGGTAGTATTAATAGCAGCTAATATCTATTGACCCAAGTCCTGGTATTTTCAATCACCTCATAGGTATGTGAAAGCTGGACCATGAACAAGGTAGATTGAAGAAGAACTGATGCATCTGAACTATGGTGTTGGCGATGGATACTGAATATTCCATGGACTGCCACAAGAACAAACAAATCTGTCTTGGAAGAAGTACAGCCAGAATGCTTCTTAGAAGCGAGGATGGTGAGACTTTGTCTCATGTACTTTGGACATGCTATCAGGAGGGACGAGTCCCCAGAGGAGGACATCATGCTTGGTAAAGTAGAGGGTCAGCAAAAAAGAGGAAGACCCTCAATGAGACTGACTGACACAATGGCTGCAACAATGGGCTCAAATATAGCAACGATTGTGAGGATGGCACATGACTGTGCTTCATTCTGTTGTACCTGGAGTTGCCATGCTTTGGAACCAGCTTGATGGCACCTAACAGCAACAATGATTATTAAGCACTCAAGACATGCTAGCCACTGTTCAAAGCCCTTTTGTGTGTAACTCATTTAATTGTTAAAACAAACCTATGTGGAAATTTCTATTATTATCCCCATTTTACAGAGAGGGGATTTAGGCACAGAGAGGTTAAGTAACTTGCCCAAGGTAATACAGGTAGTCCCCAGATTATGAACAAGTTCAGTTCCTAAGTCTGTCTTTAAGTCAAATTTGTACCTTAAATTGGAACAGTTAGGTATGGTTTGTATCTAATAATCCGTCAAATGTTTGTCTTAGTATATAGTAAATAGTGTACCTTTCTATGCATAAAAAAATTAAAGAAACAGTTCTAGATACACTAAAACATCTTTAACATAATAATACAATAATAATAATGTTTTGATATGCATCACAAAGCAGCACCAGTCTGTTATTACAAAACACTGTCTGTACCTTCTCCACAGTTGAAGAGATACCTACAGGGCAAACGTTATCCAAAATACTCAGAAGATTCTGTTCTATAAAACCTCTGAGACCAATTAAATACTTCATTGTAGACTCTGAACTAAAAAATCTACATTGTACCACTGGGTGGCATTTCTGCTAGGTTCTGAACACTCCTCAGCAGAGGCAGGGAGGGTTGGGGGCTTGGGTAGGACGGTGCTGGAGCCAGATGAATCATTCCCCTTATCACCTCCTCACCAAACTTGTCAAGCCCACGCACCAACTATGAGGCCCCTGCCTTGGGGTGGAAGAGAGAAAGTGTCACTCAGGATATGCTAAGAGTGAGCAGAGCCTGGGGCGCAAGGGTTGGGAAGAGGAAAGCTTCCAAGTGAGAAGCTTCTCCATGGACCGGAAACCATATGGACATATAGAGGTCAAGAATTTAAGCCACCAAATGGCCAAGAACTTCTACAACAGTGAAATCCCACATGCGTAAGGGAGGAGAAACAAACCCAGAGAGGTGCCGTGATGGCCCCAGGCTACAGAGCACTATGGGCCCGGCAGGATGGCGTATGCCCAGGGCGGCGCACTGACCTGCTAGGAGAACACGTAGAGCCACAGTGCCCGTAGAACGGCCGCCAGCCATCACCACCTGCAGGGCTGCCACGTGGAGCAGAGTAGCAGTGTTTGGGGCACGCAGATAGTGGGGTCCTTTCTGCTCAGAGGGAGGCGGGTGCATATGGGCTCTCTGCAGCTGGGTATACCATGTCACAGGGGCCCGCCTGCTGCCAGCGGCTGCCCAAGGACCCACTGTGGCACCTGCAGCCGTTGTGGGAGCCAGGGGGCCAACACAGAGTCAGTTTTTTCCTGAAGAGCTTTACAGAGGTGGGGGTGGGGTGGAGGGGTTGATACATAACTATGGGTTGTAAGTAAGTCATATGTTTGTAACCCAGGGACTGCCTGTATAGCTGGTAAACTGTGGAGCTGGCATTCAAACACAAGCAGACTGGCTCCATGCCTTAATTTCCATGCTATACTATCTTAGCATTTTAAAAAAAAAAAAAGCCTCTTAATTATACAGTAAATTTGGCATCTTTATCATATTTTGAATAAACAAACTGTAGATGAATGTCAAGAACACTCACTCCCATTCACTTAGGTATAAAGTGTTGAATTATATTCAATAATTTATTAATTTCTGAGTGTCTCACCATCAGAGCTTACCCAGCATGAAGGAGTTTGCTGTTATAAAGCAAAATAATTTCTTATAATAAATCAAAGTTTCAAGAATATGCTCTGGAATTGGAGTTAATCTGGGGATACTTTATGACTTTGAGGAAAAAGAGTAGGTTACTCTTAAACTTCTGGAACAAGTTTAACCTTACAAGACACCTCGTCTTCTAATAAGGATTCAGAGATCCCACAGGGTTGTGCCAATGTACCCAAGAGAACCCAGTCTGAGTTTACTATTCCTCCTCTGTGTTTTCAGACTACTCCCCATTGTCCCAGTGGCTCCAATTTATTCACTGACAGAAGCCCCAATCTGAGCAAATTGCTGAGGTGAATTTATGCCATTGGTCACATGACTATACTAACAATGGCAATAACAGCAGTAATGATGTTAGTAATCCTAACAGTAATAATATTAATGAAACAATAATAATAATCACCATTATTTTTGGTGAAGTTACTAAGCGGTAAGCACTATGCAAAGTGCTTCATACTGACAGGTATTTAGGGAGGCAGTATGGAACAGTGGTTAAAAGCATGAACTCTAATGACAGACTGCTGTACTCTGACTCCACTTAGTTGCTGTGTGACCTTGAACAAATTATTGAAATTCTTAGTGCTTCAGAGTATCTGCCTCCTAAAGTAGTTGTGAGGATAAAGTACATTAATATAAAATATTCAAAACAGTGCCTGACACATGGAAAGAGCCTGAAAAAAGGTTTGTGTACACACACACACCTTCGTCTTTAATCAACTCAACAACCTTATGAAACTGTAGTGCTACCTACATTTTCTAGATGAGATTAACATTCAGAAAAGCTAAACGCCACAAATTAGTTAGGGGTGGAACCAAAGTCTCCCTGGTCTGCCCGACTCCAAAGCCCATACTCTTCATGTTCTCGTTCTCTCTCCGGTTCTTTCTGTCCTCCTCTCCTTCTCTGTCCCTCTCCTTCTCCCACCCACCCCTCTTTCTGCTGAAATGAGGATGGGCCGACTGTATAATAAAAGAGAGCATAATCACTCCAATTTCATTTTTGTTTTTTCCCTAAGAGTTTGACTATACAGCATTAAAAAACAAAAAAAACACTAAATGTTAAAAATGCCAACCTAACATACAGCATATCATCAATTCTGAGAGACTTTCTATTTCATTTTTTCCATCTTGAATCAAGTGTTTTATAATTGGCAATGTTATTCCTTTCTTAGCACATAAAATGGTGTATCTTACAATCAATATCATCTTCCATTTGACAAAATATGGTAGCTGTTAAGCCCAATGAATATCATTGAAGGATTAAAACATTCCAGAATTTGAGCCCAGAATTCATAGGATCTGCCTCGTTCAATCCCAGTTTCCCCATTTAAGCTTCACTTCACCTTGACTATCTCTTTACCAACCTATCCATTCCCCTCTAATTATCAAGCCCCTACAGCTCTGACAACCAATCAGTTTTTTAGCTCAGGCTCTGGGCCTGGTTTTTGTATTCCTTGTCTTGGCTTTCTCTTTCTGATGACTTAAGGACCTCTAATCATAATCACAAACCCAGGGACACTCCTTCCTTACAGATGGTCACTACAGCTAGTTCTCACTTTATAGGCACAGCTGGACTGTATGGGTAAACTGAAGAAGTACTAGCTAAAAGTGGAGACTTGACAGAGCCCTTTTGTTTTTCACTTTCAGTTATTTCTATAGCCCCTTTTATAAGTACTTATCTGGTTCATACTTAAATTTTTTTCCTGTTTTGGCCTGAGTGCCTCCATTCCACATATGGTCAGTTTCTTCATAGAAGAAAAAAATGTCAAGTTTTACATCATCTTTTCCCTGGAAAGACAGTTCCAAGCTGTCTTCTACCTAGAAGGAAGATGAAAACTGTCACGGACTAAAACAAAGGAAACATATTTAAAAAAAAAAGATGGTTATGTTTTACACATATATTGATTCTAAGATACATATTTTTTCAAGTTGGAACACCTCTGAAATAGGGATGTATTTTACAATCAGTAGTAGCCATCATTTAATTTCTTTCTTAAATGCATACTAAATAATTTTGCATCTTACAACTGATGACAACTCAGGATAAATGATTTACGGTAGTTAAAAATTTTCACTCTGCAAAGAAAATAGAAACATACTGTTTCAGAGTCTTTTTCTTACTAAAGACAGAAAAGAACCAAAGAAGAATTACTCCCTTTATTAACCAACCAAGTTTATTATCAGGAAATAAGTTTCTTAACTCAATCACTAAGTACTTATGTAAATATGGCATTATATAAACCCACATATATATCATAAATCATTAAGTTATATATATGAAAAAAAGAAGGTATATAACAAAAGAATTCTGGGAGCATTTCCCTAAAGAAACTTAACCTACAAATAATTACATTCCCATTGGACTTGGTGCATTTGTCTGTTACAACACTAATCACATAATAATTATTTGTGTGTTTTCTCCCAGTTAGACAGTGAGCTCCTCAAGGGTAAGGACTATAATTTATGCACCTCTGTGTCCCAAGTGTAGACACAGTACCAGGCACAGAGTGAGTGTTCAGTAAATGTTTGCTGAGTGACAAAAGTTCTACTACTATGACCTCAGAAAAAGATTTTATTAATTTTTTTTAATAAACTAGAATGAATATTCATGACAGGGAAAATAATTTTCCAGTGACTAAACATACTTCTACTGGCTTTCTAGGATAACATCAGGCTGCGAAGGAGCAAACTTAAAGTAACATGATTGCAAGGGATCATGGAGTTAGGGCACAGGGCAATCAAAATGTCTAGAAGGAGATTTCACCTAGGCCATGATGACCTATTCCTATTTGATCTCTGAGAAAACTGCTAAGACCTAGAATAATCTTCCTTGAACAATACGAGATAAAGAAGGAATTCAAGTATTTGTCTGAAATAATTCTATATTTCTATCCCTTAGCAATCAGTGGAATATTTCATATCAAACGACATCCATGCCTAAATGAACATAAAAATAAATGACTCACGAGAAACAATATAACTTTAGGTAGGGGCCCTAGAACTCTTATCCTATTAACTGCATACTATATATATGGTTAATGATGTATTATTGCCTAATATAAGCATAATAAATTTATCTACAAGAGTCCAAGATTCTTCTTTCATCATTAACAGAAAGACTGATTTTCTAGCTTTCCCTAAATAGGAAAGGAGTTGCAAGTGTTAATAAGCTTTTGCTAAACTCATACTGGTCAATAGTGAGTGATAAAATGAAGTATGCAAAGCTCTTAACCATCTCTGAGTTGCTTAATATAAACTTTACTTTTGAGACATGTTACTTATGAAGTTAAGGCAAAGTTTTATTACTGACCTTCCCAAATTTGTGTTTGAGTGGCAGTCCTGCATCCTGAAATGCTATAATAATATCAGCTTTGTAATCTTGTATAAAAATCCCTAGGTCGACGTCTTTGCTATAAGGAATAATGCTGCACTGCCGATACCATCCTAAAAAAAGGAATAAATAAAAACAAATTTAAAATACCTTAAGTTTACAAAAAATTAGTCACTATAATGGATGACCTTTTAAACACAGATTTTATTTCATATGATTAGACTCAGGGTGCATTACCAAAACTATTTTTAAAAAAATTAAATCCCTCACTGAAAGACTATCTGTGATTGTAAGAGCGACCTATTGAACCAATTTTTTTATTTGTTTTTTTAATTTAATTTTTACTGGTCTGAGCATCCAGCTTCCTCAAAAACTTTGATGATATATTTTAATTTCTGCATAATGCATTAGCTTTAATAATATTAACTGGGCTATCTATTTAAAAAAAACTTAAGCTACTGCTGAGAATGTTTAACCATTAACCTCTAAAGAAGAGGCTGTTTTTAAGATATGCTAAAAAATATAATTTAATTCTTTAGCTTAACCAATATCCCTTTCCTGAGCAGTAATTTTTAGAACTTAACAGTTCTGAATAGTTCGTGTCTGCTGGGTCATATGAAAAAGAAAAGCCATAGTAGCCTTAATTTTTTAATGCACTGTCAAAAGACATTTCTAGGCATTTACTCTAGGGTTGCTATGAGTCGGAATTGACTCAATGGCAGTGGGTATACTATGTATCTACTTCTCAATTAGGTGATACAGCATTGCTCTACAAAAATAAAATTCATACCATAATTCTACTACTAAAGGCTCCTGGGTCTCTCCTATTATCCTTTCAATTCTTCCATCCAAATAATTTACAAAGTAAATAAATGGAGGGAGTGAAACTATTCTGTACAATACTATAATGGTGGACACATGACATTATGGATTTGTCAAAACCCACAATCTGTACAACACACAGAGTAAATCCTAATGAAGCAATGGACTTTATTAATAATAATATAGCAATATTGGTTCATAAATTTTAACAAATGTCTCCACCCCCAACACACAAAACAAAAACAAAAAAAACAGTGTGTAGGGGGGAGAAGGGATATGTGAGAACTCTGTACTTTCTGCACAATTTTTCTGTAAGTGTTAAGCCTGCTTTAAAAAATAAAGTCTACTAAAGAAAAGTAAATAAATGCCTACAGCTAGCTTTATAGACGCTGCTATAGAGCAATACTGTTTGGAATTCTAAATACTTAATTTCATTTTAAAATAGTAATAGGTCTTAAAAAGGCCTAGGATGGGGTCCCACCTCTAGTTTGAGAAAAAACTACAGATAAGCAGTTCTTGATTTTTTTGAAGCAATCCACGTCTACTAAACACTCATGAACTATTAAAAATGGAAAGAACCTTAAGTATCATCTAATACAAATACAACCCCCTTATTTCATAAATGACCCTCTACGTCAAGAAAATCATGGGAATAAGAACTCAAAACATGACAAATGATTAAGATTTTGATGATATATTCCATAAACAATCCTTTTTCTAAAAAGTTAAATCTTGACATGTACATTACATAAATGTGTAAGATGTACTCTTTTTTTGGCTTACTCTAGCTGCAGGCTGCTTGACAGGAAGAATCACGTGAATTCTCCCCATTGCCTAAAAGATTGAACGGCAATATATCTCAGTTTATACCTGCTATACCAACACAATTACTAATGGTACTCCCTTTCACTCTCAAGTGTCCTGAGAGATACTATATGGCCACCCTACAAAAGCAGGAGCAGGGTTAACTTTCATACAAACACAGTTATAATCAAGAAAGAACAAATACAGTTATAATCAAGAGAAAACAAACACAGAACAAAATTTAAGATTCTAAATTCCAAAAAAGTTTGATTTAATGGTGCACTGAGTGAGGACCAAGAATTCTCAGATTTCCTTTCAATAGCAACTTGTCTAAGGACTCAAGAAAAGGCTGTATTTCCCCATCTCAGAATTAACAGACTGTGGTAAGGCAGGAATGGCCAGTCAATGATGTTATCAGGTTTGCAGAAGACCTCATGACACTCCCCTCAATCTTCCTCTCATCAGAAACTTTTAGTGCAGTGCATGCAACTTGAATGGAGTGTAAGTAAACAAACGGAACGGAGTTGTTGTTTAAAGGCAATTACCTTTGGGACAGAATAGAACGCTAATGTAAGGATTACCTGATAATCAACTATAGTTTATATGGTCTAAGTTTTATACACATTACTTATAATTTTTGGTAAACACAAACATGACCTTCCTAACTTGGCTTTATGTTCCTGAAAAGAATTTTTTTAAAGAATCAATAAATCCTTGTTCCATGCACTTTCATTCTGTCTACAAAATAACACTTCGAGTATCACCAACATTTTCTCATTTCAAGCAGTTATCCCTAAAGTCAAAGAGACAAAAAGACAAATGTAAAGTAACAAGAATTTTACCAAGACAAGTGCCACTGCTCAGCCAGAATCGTACTCCCAATTTCTTTAATGTTTTGGCTGCCAGTTGCAACAATTCCTTTGCACTCTTCCGAAAGGCCATAGCTTCCACAGTGTTATCATCAAGGTATTGCTACAAATATAATAGTCAGCTATTACAGCAGTATGTAAATTGCTAGAAGAATTTCTGTAACATCTAAATTTGAAAATTAACCCCTTGTTATTATCTTTTTTCTCTTACAAAAATCAAGTTTTATAGTTCCTTGTTAGTCACAAGTTAAAAAACAAAACAAAACAATATAAGGTAGATTCTAGGAGAGAAAGTTACAGGAAAAGGAGTATAACCAGGATTCTCAACGAATGAGATTTATACCTTTATCAGCTCCCTCCTCCATGTCACGATTTAGTAGAATGGGAAGTTAGGGGGATAGAAGGTAATTTATTAGAGTTAAAAGTACAGCTGTAGCAAAATGCACTCAATGACATTTTCATCATTCACTGATGATATATTAGTGGATTTTTTAAAGACTGTAAAGTATAGTAGAAAAAGCATAGGATTTTGAATCAGAGTATCTGTGTTTGACCCTAGCTCAACTTTTTAGCTATGTGACCCTGGCACATCACTCCAAAAGAATACAAGCTCTATGAGAAAGGTAACTTTGTTTGATTTATCACTATTATCTCCAGTGCCTAGAACAGGGCCTGAGTATCTGTTGCATCAATGAGAAAACAAAAGAATAAACAAACAAACCTTTCTGAGATTTACTCATTTGTAATTTAAGGAAAATAATTACACTTTGCAGGACTACTGTGAAGACTTAATGAAATAATGGATGAGAGAAAAAGGCTTTGCAAATTTTGAAGTTCTATACGAATATTATCATTTAGTCTTCTTGCTGTTCTGACTGTCTTCATTTTAGAATGCTCTGGAACTGAGGAAAGTAATATAAATTCTGCAGTGATATTTCGTGTCTTAGTCATCTAGTGCTGCTATAACAGAAATATCATAAGTGGATGGTTTTAACAAAGAGAAATTTATTCTCTCACAGTCTAGTAGGCTACAAGTGCAAATTCAGGGTGCCAGGGGAAGGCTTCCTCTCTCTGTCGGCTCTGGAGGAAGGTCCTTGTCATCAGTCTTCCCCTGGTCTGGAAGCATCTCAGCACAGGAACCTCAGGTCCAAAGGACGTGCTCTATTCCTGGTGCTGCTTTCTTGGTGGTATGAGGTCCCCAAGTCTCTCTGCTCGCTTCTCTCTTTTATATCTCAACGGAGACTGGCTTAAGACACTATTTAATCTTGTAGACCTCATCAATATAACTGCCGCTAATCCATCTTATTACATCATAGTGATAGCATTTACAACACATAGGGAAATCACATCAGATGATAAAATGGTAGATAATCATAAAATATTGGGAATCCTGGCCCAGCCAAACTGATACATTTTTGGGGGGACACAATTCAATCTATGACACCTCGTTATCTATGGGACAAAGTATAAATTTCTTGGCATGGCAGACAAGACATTTATGTTCCAGTCTTTGACTACAAGTCCAGCTTCATCTCCTCCCTGCTCACACTTCATATTCCAGCAATAACTTGTAACTCCCTGAGCATACTGAAAGTTTTCAAGCCTCTGTGCCTTTATACATGCTGTTTCCTTTTCCTGGAATGCCCTTGGCTAACAAAATCTTTCTGGTTTTCAGCTACACCCTCTGGGAAATATTTCCTGATTTTCCCAGGAAGACAAAGGTATTTCTTCTCCCAGTGCACAAATTCAGTTCCACATTTTAGAGCAATGAATTATGTTTGGTGCTAGATATACAAAGACAAATGAAATAATCTGTTCCCTTAATGAGTCTACAATAGTTGCCCCTTATACATACTTTTACTTTAATTCTTATATTTAATTCTAATTGTTTATTTACATTTCCTCCACTAGACTTAAAGATGGTTACTTGGGGTCAGATACTGAATCTCACTATCACTATATAGATCTAGAATGCTGCCTGGCACATAACATGCAAACAATACTAAATGAATACATGATAGACTAAACCACTCTCATGCCTACAATAACCTAAAATATCCTGTCATTCTTTATAATACAACAGGTGGGAATATAGTTTCTAGAAGGATCTTAAGCAAAAATGTCCTAGCAAGAATGTGGGATTCAGGAAGATAATCTGCCTTCTACGAAATGTACAAATTATATGGGATCTCTTCAAAATGAAAACATCTCTTTCCACAGAGCCATAATGTCTCTTAAACATATGACTGGAATGAGAGATACATGTTCTTATGCTTTGGCTAGCATTGTGCTGTAGTGGGAAAAGCCTAGAGCTAGGTGCTCGGAGAACCAGAATTAAGTCTATGCTCAGTCACTAATGGTGTGTACCTAACATCGTGGAGCCTCAATTTTCTTATCTGTTAAAGGCGAATACTTGCTTTACTCCACAGAATGACAAAAAAGATCAAATTAAATAACAGATATGAACACTTTGTGCTTTACAAAAACATCAGTTCTCACTGGTCTGTCCTTTTGAGCCTGCCCCCTGCATGGCATACTCCCACTCCGGCATACCTTTCCTACCATGAATCTCCCAGAAATTCCTTAGAACTGACCATTATATGCGTTAAGGTCTATACATGTATATACCTATGCACCTCATATATCTGTTACAGATTTTAAAATAATAGTATAGACACTTTTATTCATTTAAAAAGATATTATATAGATTTTTGAATTACAATGTCTCTAAGAAAAGACAAAATTCTAATTTAAATATCATCTCCATTTAATTTTTCCTGCTCAATCAAGAAATGGGGACACAAAACCCAAGAAGAACCCTAGAATCCAAAAGGACAAACTTTCCCCCAAAATGATACAGAATAAGATGACAGAAGGTACCCACTCATTTTATAGATGAGAAAACTGAGGCTCATAAGTTTGCTTGAGGTCTCAGAGCAAATTAGTGAAGGAGGACAAAAATATGGCTACCTAGATCTTCCTAGGCCAGGTGTTCAAATACTTCCACCTTGTTGTTGTTAGATGCCACTGAGTCGGTTCCAACTCATAGCGATCCCGTGTATAACAGAACGAAACACTGCCTGGTCCTGCACCATCCTCACAATTCTTGCTATGTTTGAGCCCACTGTTGCAGCCACTGCATCAATTCATCTTGTTGAGGGTCTTCCTCTTTTCCACTGACCCTCTACTTCACCAAGAATGATGTCCTTCTCCAGGGACTGGTCCTTCCTGATAACACATCCGAAGTATGTGACACAGAAGGTCTCACCATGCTTGCTTCTAAGGAACATTCTGGTTGTACTTCTTCCAAGACAGATTTGTTCGCTCTTCTGGCAGTCCATGGTATAGTCAATATTCCTCACCAACACCATAATTCAAAAGCATCAATTATCCTTCGGTCTTCCTTATTCATTGTCCAGCTTTCGCATGTGTATGAGGCGACTGAAAACACCACGGGTTGGGTCAGGCGTACCTTAGTCCTCAAAGTGACATCTTCACTTTTCAACACTTTAAAGAGGTCTTTTGCTGCAGAGTTGCCCAATGCAGTACAGTTTGATTTCTTGATTGCTGCTTTCATGGGTGTTGATCATGGATCCAAGTAAAACGAAATCCTAGACAACTTCAATCTTTTCCCCGTTTATCATGATATTGCTTACTGGTCCAGTTGTGACGATTTTTGTCTTATGTTGAGGTGTAATCCATACTGAAGCCCGCAGTCTTTGATCTTCATCAGTAAGTGCTTCAAGTCCTCTTCCCTTTCAGCAAGCAAGGTTGTGTCATCTGCATAATGCAGGATGTTAATGAGTCTTTCTCCAATCCTGAAGCCGCGTTCTTCATATAGTCCAGCTGCCATGGTTTGAATTATGTCTCCCAAAAAATGTGCGTATCAATTTGCCTGGGCCATGATTCCCAGTATTGTGTGGCTGTTCCTCCATTTCGTGATTGTAATTTTCTGTTAAAGAGGGTCAGGGTGGGATTGTATAACACCCTTACTAAGGTCACATCCCTGATCCAATGTAAAGGGAGTTTCCCTGGGGTGTGGCCTGCACCACCTTTTATCTTTCAAGAGATAAAAGGAAAGGGCAGCAAGCAGAGAACTGGAGACCTCATACCACCAAGAAAGCAGCGCTGGGAGCGGAGCATGTCCTTTGGAACTGAGGTTCCTGCGCTGAGATGCTCCCAGACCAAGGGAAGACTGATGACAAGGACTTCCTCCAGAGCTGAGAGAGAGAGAGGAAGCCTTCCCCTGGAGCCTGAATTTGGACTTCTAGCCTACTGGACTGTGAGAGAATAAACTTCTCTTTGTTGAAGCCATCCACTTGTAGTATTTCTGTTATAGCAGAAGGAGATGACTAAGACACCAGCTTCTCAGATTATTTTCTCAGAATACAGATCAAGTAAGTAGGTAAAAGCATACAACCTTGACACACACCTTTCTTGATTTTAAACCATGCAGTCTCCCCTTGTTCTGCTCGAATGACTGCCTCTTGGTCTATGTACAGGATCTTCATGAGCACAGTTAAGTGTTCTGGAGTTCTCATTCTTCACAATGTTATCTATAATTTGTTATAATCCACATAGTCGAATGCCTTTGCATAGTCAATAAAACACAGGTAAACATCTTTCTAGTATTCTAGTATTTTCATATTACCCTCTGGCTTTTTACTGAAATTCAACAGGCTAGAGCTTATTAATTATCTTTTAGATGGTTATTCCTAAAACAAAATCAAGTTCAGGAAAATATATGTATTATCCTAGTTTTGAACTTCAAGAATTAAAAGAAAACATAGAATGTCAGGAAAGCATTTCCTTTTTCTCCCCCTTCTCCTCCCCCTCCCTTCCTGAACTGTTCAGTACTAAAGCCATTAGGTGGGACAGAGCAAGAGAGGCTTCCTGTAGAGGGGTGATCAGGTATGAGGTGTCAGAGCCTGAGCAGGTGAGGAGGGTGTCCATGTGGAGGGGGTGCCCAGTACAGGGTGTCAGAGCCCAAAGAGGGTGAGAAGGCTGTCTATACACTGGGGCAGCCTGGTGGGAGACTATCAATGCCTAAACCAGGTGAGAAAAGTATCCACATGGGGGAGGGGAAAGTAGCAGTGACAGGAG